CCCCCACAGAGACACTCACGGGAGACGCTGAAGCCGAAGATGTTCTCGTAGTCCTTCAGCAGCTTCTTGAGCAGGGTGCTCTTCCCAGCCCCCGAGGGGCCGCTCAGCACCACAGGCCTGGGGCCCTGCATGGCTGGAGGGGGGGGCAGCAGAAGGGGCTGGTGAGGAACAGACACCCCCAGGAGAGGGCTGGGGGTGCCCAGGGGGTGCTCAGCCCCACAGCACAGCAGCCCCCGGGCAGAGGTGGAAGGGGGAGGAATTAGAAGCGTGGGGCTGAGGGGGAGGGAACCCCAAAGGAGGAGGAAACTGGGCTCTAGATGCCACTAAACTGGGATCCTTCAGCCTGGCTCTGTCCTGTCACCAGTTGGGTCCATCTGGGAGCCAAAAGCCAGGAACAATGTTCTCCAACAGGAGCAGAAACGTGCCTGATGGCATCTGGGAACACCATGGGACACCCTGTGGACTTGCCATGGAGGCACTGGCCCAGGTGGTGGAATCCCCATCCCTGGAGGGGTTCAAGTGTGCACAGGATACTCCTAGACCCACCCTGGTTGGAGAGGAGCTCCAGGATCAGCAAGTCCAACCTTCCCCCCAGCATCTCCCCGACCACCAGCCGTGGCCCTCAGGGTTTAGAGGCCATGGGAGGGTTGGGTTGGTGATCCTGGAGGGCTTTGCCAACCTCAGTGGTTCTGTGAGGGACAGTTAGACATCCACTAGCAGTCCTGGGTAAATATCTGTATCTTCAGCCAAAAAGACCAAAAAAAAGGGTGTTTTGATGTGCTTGCTTCTCTGAGGAGGAAGAAAGGTTCATTTCCACAGCAGGAGACCCTGCCCAGCACTGCAGGGGGTACTGCTGGGGTCCCCAACACTCCACCAGCTTCCACACCCGAGGGACAAACCACACAAACCCCATTTCAAACCAAATTCCTTCCCTGGAAAAGAACTGGGTGGGTTTGGGGTTAGTGTTTTGGGCCCGTTGGGGCAGGGAGGGCCCAGGGAGGGCTCAGCAGGGTGGCTGTGCCACACGAGGTGACAGCAACGTCACCCCAGCCCCCCAGGCACTGCCCTAAGCCTGGAGATCCTGCAGCTAATCCCCCCCGGAGGCTCCTCCCCAGATCCACCCCCAGGGCCAGGATGAGATCCCAGCTCTGCCTCTGCTCCCTCAGGCACACCAGGGTCAGTCAGCCGGGGTGGTTCAGCTGCCAGCAGGCTCCAGGAGAACCTGTTGTTACCTTTCAGGGGTTCAAGGGGTCTGGCAAAGCTGGGGAGGGACTTTTGAGGAGGAGCTGTTGGGACAGGACAAGGGGGGATGGTTTGAAATTAAACGAGGGGGATTGGGGCTAGAGAGGAGAAGGAATTTTTGGCACTGAGGGTGCCAAGGATGAGTGCCCAACCCTGAGGAGGTGGGTCAGAGCTCTGAGCACCCTGCTCTAGCTGCAGATGTCCCTGCAGGGGCTGGACCAGGTGACCTTGGAAGGTCCCACCTCACCCAAACCACCCCATGACTCTGTGACTCCCTGGGGACAGCAGGGCACCAGTCCCACCACAGGTACACTCCACGCTGCTGGATCATCCATCACCCCAAAAAACCCACCCCGAGGTGGAACAAACACTCTAGAAGTCCTTTTTGGGGACCCACCTTACCTCCCCCTTAGCCCTGGGCTCGGATAGAGTCCAAGCATCCAGCACCCACCTGGGCAGCCCTCAGCCCTGAGGTGGGATGGGGGAAGAGGAGCAGG